AAATTATCCTGACTGGATGATCCGTGGCGACTATTTGAGACATGTCTTTTGTCCAATTCCTGTCGATCTGGTATCCATCCAATAGTTCAATCCATGCCAATCAGGTGGACAATGTCTATTTTTCAATAGAATTCGAATATGTTTAATCATGTTGAAAGTAAAAAACATGTCAACCCATCATTCATTCTTCAATGCGTATCGATTGTTAGATTAACATTCATTGTTTGATCACTAACAATTGTCTTGGGGAGATCAATATTGATTGGGTCATCAATGTCGATTAACTAATCTGTGTAGACTGTTGCATCCAAATAAATTGTTCGATATCGATGTCAATCAAAAAGCAAGGTTCGTACATGCCCGCTTTGTCAATCGACTGACAATGCCAAAATCTGATTATCAGCTGTGCTAATCACCACAGAGATGCAGCTGCCTCCCTTGTGACATCTCTGATATTCTCTCAATTAGACTATTAAAACAGTTCGCTCTATGGAATCACCGATCAACAGATGAGACGTCTGCAGCACATTCAGAACTATGCTGCCAGATTGGTCACTCGGACGAGCAAAAAGACACACATCACACCAGTGCTCAACTCGCTTCACTGGCTCCACATTCCTGAGTGAATCATATTCAAAATACACTCGCTATCTTATCAAGCTGTCCATGGTACTGGACCTGTCTATCAGAGTGCCCCACACTTTCCTTCAAGAACTCTGCACTCTAGTGTAGGGTGCCTGCCACAAAACTTCAAACTTTCGGCACCAGATCCTTCTGTGTCTCAGCCACTACTCTGTGAAACTCTCTACCCGAATCACTGAAGTTGATTCCATCTCCAGAAACCTCTAAATCCTGTCTTAAAACCCAGTATATCTAAAAACGAAACCCCCCAAAACTCGTACCATTGTGAAGAACTCGACTGCCTCTGTTACCATCGTTTGAGGCAATGTGCTTTGAGCATACCTTCATGGCATGGATGTAGCGCAATATAAATGCCATTATTATGTTTTACAGATAAAGACGAAAAATGCAGGCACAGTCAGGCTGGTAAGGCTCATCATCAGCTCTGGGCCCTTGCCGCCTCTCACTTCTCCCAGGAAACGCTGCCTAGTCGAACCCACCAAGATCTTTCTGTAGAATATGTAGACTCCCAAACACTGCAGCCTTCTGCATTACCCAGAGTGTCAGATGGGCTGTGCTCCCGGTGGAGAACCTGGGCACTCTCCTGATCAGGAGGTACCAAACCAAGGGCACCGAGAACAATGGGGAGCCTGACGACAGTGTACTTAGGATGCAAGCAAGGCATTTCAAAGGTGAGATCTGCATGTTTAGCATGCTTCTCCTGAATCTTTGTCAATCACATTGCTGTCAAAAGGGACAGAATATTCAATAACATATATAAATTCATTGGCTTTATAAAAAAAGACAAGATCAGGTTTGTTTGCAGGAATTCTTCTGAGACTGCATATGGGCCTATTCCAAAGAAGTTTAAAAGCATAATTTTCCATGATGCCCTGGACATGGTCAGTGTCGTACCATGGATGGACCTCGCAGTCCAAGCCACAGGCATGGTGAAGACGATAGTAGGAACGAGCCATGACATCATATGTCTTTTAAGATATACTGCTTGTGCCAAGGAAGGGAGGGCATCCACTGACAAGGTGTTGGACAGTCTCTGTAAATTCATGGAAAGTCGACATTTCATATTAATGTTTTGTGTAAAAATCACACCTTAGCGATTGCAAGTGGGAAGCGACTAGTCCTGGGCAGCAAAAAGAAAGCCCTCAGGTTCACATTAAGACCAAGCGACTTCATCTAGGTGAAGGAGTTAATTGGATTACTATTCTGTTCCAAACACTGCATGTACACACGATGCAATGGCTTCTCAGAAAGCTTCTCCACAAATGACTGACACTGGGCAGACTTGGTGAAGGACTTCACCTGGTTTACTCCCATCGCTGTACCGTCCAGCAGTACATCGCCATCAGCAAAATCAACCTCAAATTTCAGATTCTGTCCAACAACTATGGCACGCTTAAAATAGCTGTGGAATTCCTTGCTTTCATCATGAGTCTTCACATGCATCACCAGAGGACCATCAGATGTATAAATATGTAGCAAAAGTACACAATAAAATTCTATCATGAAAGCCCTCCACATTAATCAAACCCCGACCTCATGGATTGATTGGCATATATAAACGATTAAAAGAGGAACGAGGGTGGTGGGCTCCTGGTCAGGAGATCAAGTCCTATCGACTACGCCAAAGGAAAAGGAAGGACTTGCACAGCAAAAGTATTGGTGGATTTGACCTTGTTTCGAGCATTTATCTCGAGCTCGGGGTGTGTGTGCGTGTGTGTGTATTAAAATGGACTCCGTCCGTGCGTGCGTGCGTCCGTCCGTGCACATTTGTCTTTTCCGGAGCAGAACTCTAAAACCGTTCATTATTTCTTCACCAAACTTCGCAGAGAGATTGGTCTGGTGGTGTACTGGTGCCTTTTGGTAGTTTTGGAATTCTGAATAAAATATTTTTGTTGTTTCCATGGCAACAAGTTTGACTTGGCCTGAAATTGGTGGTAGTGCTCTTTTCCGGAGCTGAACTCTAAAACCGTTCACTATTTCTTCACCAAACTTGACACATAGATTGGTCTGGTGGTGTACTGGTTTCTTTTTGGTAGTTTTGGAATTCTGAATAAAATTTGTTTGGCGTTGCCACGGCAACAAGTTTGACTAAAACAGAAATTAGTGGTAGTGCACTTTTCCGGAGCAGAACTCTAAAACCTTTCAATGTTTCTTCACCAAACTTGGCACATACATAGATCTGGTGGTGTACTGGTGTCTTTTGGTAGTTTTGGATTTCTGAAAATATTTTTGGCATTTCCATGGCAACAAGTTTGACATAGACTGAAATTGGTGATAGTGTTCCTTTCTGGAGCAGAAATTTAAAAACCTTTCAATACTCTCCTTCGACTTTTCCATATACACACCTAAATATTTGACGTAATCATAACTCGTAGACATAATCATGAAGAGTATTTTGCCATTGCGGGGGATATTGATGACTTTGTCTTCTTGTTATAGTGATAGTGAGACTCAATGGTATCTATATCCTTAATAGTTTCAGTATTAAAGTTGTTAGTTTTTACGTCTGCTATCGTTTATTATGAAGCTCAGTCTAATTTCAAAATGGACATTCAAAAAGTGTCATTTGTGAAACAATATCATCGAACACTAATTTGCATAAAGCCATGGTCTTCTCCAAAGAAGTCTCTACGGACTTTGAAAAAACCCGCATTGCTCATTTCTGCACTAATCTCTCCTCAGTAAACCCCTTTGTTTAACGTTTCCTATCTTCCTACCACTGAGACTGTAGTTAGGCCGAACTTAGTTCAACAGATATTTCACATATTAACTACCTAAATTGTAGATATAAATGTGAAAGAAAAAAAGGGTTTTTTTCTATTTCCGACAGTACTTTAGTTACCTTGCCACGCTTCAGATGAAGAGTATTACATTTGTCGAGTCCAAATATCATTAGAAAAGGACTCGACAAGGAAAACCATTTCTTTCAAATTGGTAAGGAGCTCGATGTCATCCATGTAAAGGGGTTGAGTAATTGGTGTTGGGGATCTGTGCCGAGGAAGTACAGGATGGTAACCCTCCTCTTTATTGAGTAGAAAGCTCAAAGGATTTAAAAACAACCAAAAAGGCAAAGGACTAAAGGAATCCCCCTGGAGTATTCCCCTTCTCATTGAAATAGATTCCAAAGTCTGCACCTGACCTTGCAGTTACATCTCAAGTTGAGTCGACCAGCAACTCATTAAAGACTTGAGTAAATCAAGCAGTCGCTCAGGTAGGTCAATACAATGAAGAGACTTCAGAATCCATTCATGAAGGACAGAGTTGTATGCATTTTGTAGTCAATCCAGCACATGGAGAGGTTTCAGTGATATGTTTTAACCTCTTCCAAAATCATTTTTTTTACAAGTTGATCCTTACACCCCGAACATCCCATTTTCGCCCCTTTTGCTCTCATTAAATTATATCACTTGAAGAGCAGTAAGATGACACTGGGTTTGTCAAACACCCTGTGAATATTTTACACTGTGTATTCAAACATGTGATAGGGTGGAAGTTTTGGAGATCAGTCAAGTCTCCTTTTGTGGGAAGGAGTATTGTGTGACCTTTGCAGAACCATGGTGGAACAACCCAATGTGTCCATGAGGGACTTGAAGCATCTGCCTGGAGAGCGAAAGGTCATGGGTTCGATCCCCGAGCAGGGAGTACAAAAGTCATATTATCCCGCCACGCCTTGGTGACCACGCGAAGTGAGAAAAGTGTGCATCGCCAAGCCTTTAGTAACGTGTGCTGCATTGAGGTCAATCGATCAGCTGGTGCCAACATATCAGCAAGGAAACGTTTTGCCACAACAACTGAGAATGAAATTGATGCATATTGTTTTCTTTTGATTTAGTAAAAACATTCGGCTAGATAAATGTGTTATCACATCGTGTCGAGGGAAATACGGGGTTTTATCAGTCCCGAGTAAGGTTGTATTCCCCTTGCCTCCGGCTTGTCCAGCTCGGGGAATACAACCTTACTCGGGACTGATAAAACCCTGTATTTCCCTCAAGAGGATATGATAACTTATAATGTTTTCTTCGGAAACTGTGTGAAGTTCCTCAGACTTTGAGAACAGCCCTAACTGGATGATTTATGTTTCGTTAAGGAAATAAAATTCCCCTATCTAGGCCCACCACAGAGGCGTATTATTATTATTAAGTTCACTGTTGTATAAAGTATAAAGTATATTATCGGGATATAATTGTAATATATATAAAGTATATTATCGGGATATAATTGTAATATATTGACAATACTCATTGAAAGATGTAAATGCATGTTGAATATTATTTCGTAATATTTTGCCTACAGGGTACTAAAATAATACTAAGAATAAAACAAAGACATAATTTAACAAAAAGAATCAAACAATTCCCTTCACAATAATTAAAAAAAATGCTTTATTCCAATTTATTGACACTGTGGCACGCTTTCGTGTTTTCATCTTTGCAAATGAGTGTATGCTGTTTGCAATATTTAATTGTAAAGTTGTATGTTGAGAGTTCAAAAACGTAAGCAGCTTCAGCTTGGTGGTACCACTTCAGTTTTTAATACAGTTACACTTGTCTGTAAACGACCACAGACTTGGATCAGTCTACACTGCTACTTCATTGTCCAAAGGAAGTTATTCTGGCCACAAAAACCTGTCAGCTACGATAATGAAGCTCACTGCTCCACTTTAAATCAGCATGTCTTCACTTGGAGCATGTATGTATATCCCTACATGTCAAGCTGACAGATTGAATCTGAGGTGAAACATCTTGCATTAACTGGAAACCGTTTGCATTTATAAAACCACTTTGTCTTTGTGTTAACGTCTTCATATTATCACAATGGTTTCTCATAGGTGAGCTCTCCTTAAGGGACAGCCATTCAATTCATCTGTAAGTTCATCATACGCTCAGCTGGTTGCATCTGCATCATGATCATTGTCTTTTTCAATTTTATCACACGATGTCAAGGTTGCTGGGGAAGAAACTCGGGGCACTCTGAAAATCAAACAACACTAAATTATCAATGACATCTGGTTGACAAAGAGGAATCCAAGATTGACAATAGTACAACAATAGTACAACATTACTCACCATTCAGCTGCTTACAATCAGGCAAACAGTAACAAAAATAAGTATCTTGTAATTGACAGTTTTGGGAAGGATAAATCATACACGTTTTATTAAGCACACATCCTTAAATCTTGCCTTAAATCAAAATTTACCTCCATATGAGTCATTCTCAAAATTTGTGCAAAAGTTGTAAATTTTGTTTGCTTGTTTTACCTTGAAATGTTGTTGACTACGTTTGTAGCATTCTGAATATACAAAACATAAATTATGCAAGCTTAACATAATTTCATTTATCACATTTTACCCTTTTTATTAGAAATTTTGTGAAATTGCGTAATGTCATTTTGAAAAGAGAAAAATCCAAAGAAGAAATCATTAAATGTATACATACATTCGAATATTTAGTTTACAATATAACATTGCTAATGAGTTTTGAAATTGTATTTTTATTGCTTGAAAGGGCCCAACAAGCCTAAAAATTCCTTTTATTTCTGATTTGCAATTATGAAATAATATGTACAGTCCGTTTGAGTCAGAAACGGACCGATGAATTTCAAATTTTATCATTGTACAAAATTGCCACATAAATATAAATAGTACACATGTTGATCATTTACTAATACCCAACAGCTTTCTTATATTTGAAAATTTTCCGGACTCCACCAAAAAAGTTGTTTAAGAAACTATCATCATTGAAAACGCAAAAGTTGTTATCTGTCGCAGCGGGGTGAAACCGCAGAAACGGAACAGCCAGTCACGGCGGGGGACATCTCAAAATCTATTCCGGGAGACCTGTCGGTTCCTCGTCCGTCGTAGTGTCATAGTCACGACTTAAAGGGATGACAAGTGGTGCCACAGTTGCCTGTTGTAAGCCATCCCGAGACCAGTAACCTTGTTCAATGACGTTAGCTACTTTGTTGACACAGTTTTGCCGTCCCAGGTGTCGTCCAAGTACAATGGCTCGAACCCTTCCTCGCGCTTCTTCTTTATAACCCTCAGAAAATTATTTCTCAAGCGAACGATATCAGGGCGTTCACAGAGTACTGACCTATTCTTCCCCGAAATTTTCTTATATCGATACCCGAAAGAGTGTAAGGGTCGCCAGAGTGTGTACTTTGATACTCTGAGGTTGTGTTCTTGCTTCAAATGCTTTTTTAAAATTTTCAGGGACATGTATTTGTTTTCAGAATAGAGCTTGTTGATAGACTGCCTTACAAGGTTCTTTTGAAAGTTGTCCAAATGTTTTAATTTGTGTGATTTTGACACGACCCCTACCTGCTTCGCATCACCCTCACAAAGTTTCTGTTCCAGAACATTGGTCAGTACCCTTGCTGATACTCCTAAAGCTTTTTGCTGCCCGGAATTTATTAATGGCATAAAATGGTTTGCCCCTTTCGGCTTCAGCATGGAAAAAATCGTACACTTTAATCATCAACTGTTTCACGTCAGCATTCAACTTCATTTTTCATAAGGCATGTGTATCCCGTGCACGACGAGATAGATATATATTTATGTGGCAATTTTGTACAATGATAAAATTTGCAATTCATCGGTCCGTTTCTGACTCAAACGGACTGTAGCAAAAAAAATTCAAAATGAGAATATGAATTATATTATGCTTACTTGTAGCTCTACTTACCAAATTTACTTACACTACAAATAAGCATATAACTATTATTTGTTTTGTTAAGGTAAGGACAGGGTAGTGTAACAGCTGTGACAAAGAAGAAGACTGCTGTGACAGGGCCGTTACGGCAGTGACATTACATACTGTCACAATGTCACTGCCATAACATGCAGTCTTTACCTGTATTTTACATGACAGGGACATCTAAGTACATCTTTTGCCTGTTACATATTCTTCAAACATTCTGAGATATCTGATTGACAAATTTCATTAAATCAGCTTTTAAAGTGAGCATATAAAACTGGCTGTTATACAAAATGTCACTATTGTTATTGTGTCACTACGGTAACACTTAATGCCACTGTATATACCATAACAGTATCATTTTCCTTATTCAATTATATCTTTGAATTTAGATACAAACAACATTAAACTAGAAAAATGTCACTGCGGTCACAAAATCTGTAGAGATCAGCAGACAGCCCTGGGAGTAATCATTATTGCAAATGGTTTTTTTTGATGTTACAAAATGTTTTTCCATGCAAAAAAGGATAAACCACGCCAGGCATGTAACTGTAACATCATTAATAATAAGATGTTAAAAAATATCTTTTGAAAAACATGAAAAAGACAAAACAAATCCAATTGCACACCGGCCACTGGAGTTGTGAGACATGAAAATTGAGTAAAATTAAGTGGTTCGGGGTGGTTAAAATATATATAAAGATATTTTTTTCAAATTTTGTTACTGTAAGTGTAGAATAAACTGAGATATATCAGTTACCATAAATGTTTTTATTGATTTTGACTCAAGTTTGTCGGGTACAAACATATAACATAAATATGTACGACTTTTGAGAATGACTCGTATACTAACACACATATATATATATGTGTGTGTATTAGGGCTGCAACGAATACACTATGTGGCGAATATGATACGTATCATGAATATTGGGTAACGAATACGAATAATTATTCACAAATACAATATTGTAGTTAAGTGATTGATGCACAATATGGAACGCCCATGTTGACAGTGTTAATTTGTCACAGCAATAACCAGTGATCTCATGACACTCAAATTTGGTATGTAATAGTTATAATCGACAGTACCATGCACTGCCTTGGCAAACTAACATGACTGGCACTACTGCAATGCTAGTACATGTTTCATTCTTGCATATCTCACTTTGGAATAGGACATAAGGGTTCAAGTAAAACATGCTCCCTTAAAAAAAATCATAAATATTCGTTAATATTCGGTTCTGGTGACCACGAATAACGAATTGAATTCATGAAGGGCTACGGTTCGATTCACCGAATATGTGAGTGAATCGTAACAGCCTTAGTGTGTATATATATATATTGCATAGATAAATAAAAACAGAATGCCGTTTTCTCCAACATGTTTCGTTCTTTACTCTTCAGGGAGATTGTAGCGGTTACAGTATGACGTCATTACATATATATTGTGACGTCATAATAGGGACAACATTCTAGAGCGACAAGGTCACAGCTTGCAATGGTTTAACATTGGTTTGTACTTGTCTATGAAGTAGTGTTCTTTTAAAATTCGTTTTACTTTGTCCGAATTTTGAACTTGATAAAAAGGAAATATTGTAAATTTAACATCGTTTCCTTTCGCACAGACATCTAGATGTTCACTCAGTTCAAAATTCGGATATACAAAATACATTGGTAACGGTCTGGACAATTAAGGTTGACACATAACATTTATACGTATTTGATGGTGTCAATGTTCTGCAAAATGTGTTGAATTTCATTATTTCATCTGCTGTCACATGCACAGGGGCTAGCTCAAGCAGACACAGGAAGTAGAATTACAATCCAGCTAAAGGGGGAAATTATTGCTGGAATTTCATACACTGGTAACGGTCAGGACATAAAAACACAGGACAAGCATGTTACAATTTGTAGAAAAAACCTTTTTTAAGTTAAAACAAAATTAAATGCAGTTTGAGTATGCCTGTTCAATCCTTATTGGCATAATATGAATTAGTTTGTTTATTTGCATTTATATTTACATTATTTGTGAACATTGATATTAGGACCGTCACCTCCGGACAGAGCAAATCTGCCAATTTTGACCCTAAAATGTGGCTAAATATACATTTCAAAATGACAAGACTAATGATATACCACATTTACTGACAGTAAACACCTAAATATGTTTTCTAGCACACACAAAAAATCATTTTAAGTTAACAGAGGTTTTTTTATTTGGAACGGACAGAAAATCCTACCAATTTTGAAAATGACCCATATATATACTCAATATGTAATCTAAGTAATCAGAAAGATTCTGACTATCTGCATATTGCAATCTGTTTTTATTGTTTTTATTGTAAGTAAAGGAAGAAGTCAGAAATGTTGATAATTACTGTTGTCGTTCTACGTGATTCAGTCATGGTGTCTTTCATGGAAAGTTTGACAACTTCGTATGAATAAATCAAATCATTGTAGTGTATTTTAATTTCCTATTTCTTGCTATGATACTCTTCCATGCATATTCTTAAAGTATTAAGCCTATGCATGCTTCTAATAGCCGAATGGATGCCTGAAGATGCTAAACAGTGTAAAATCTTAATTTTTCGTTGTTTACATTTCAAACAAGCGCAGTCTTACAAGCACTGTTCGTAGTTCACATTCAATATGTTCTGCTTGACATCATCTAGACACTTTATTTTGTGACAGAGACCATTTGTTATTTGATTCTAAAATGTATGAGGAATTCAGTGATGTATTTGAAGCACCTGAGTGTGAAAAATACCAGAAAATAGGTGTCTCATGGCCAGTCTTGGCAAAACATGATTTTGTAAACACTATCCAATATGGCTGAAAGCTCACTTGGTCGTTCGTGTATATGTTCGTGTTCGTCTATTTTCAAGAACATCCCAACTGATTCTAGGTTTATCAGCGATGTTTTAGAATTATCATTGGTGATTTGATGCAAAACTGTCATCAGTGCATATTAATACAGTTTTTATTAAAATTCAGTACTCCAGTAGAAGAAAGTAGCCATGTTGAAATTACTTGAAACATCAACCTTAGCCACACATAGACCAACCTTAAATTTTCACCTTAACTAAGGTCAGTTAGGTCAATTTTCATGCTGACAATTTGAAAAAGGTAACACACACTATTTTCAATCTTATGTGCAGCTTCAAGGTGCAGCTGTTGATGCCTTCCCTATATCAACACAAATAGTGGTTACACCAAATGTTGACACAGTTGATTTGAGTTTTTACACCATCCTTCTGTTAGGGCATGTCTCCAGGCTGTCATGCATTTGCTATGATAAATCATTTATCAGAGGAAGTACTGATATTTTTATTTTCAATGACACTTACTTTTTGCTTGTAATTCCAATGTTAATTCATATACATACCACACACATTATCAGGTTAGATGAGCTGGCATGCATCCTTGCCAGATCACTGTGCCTGGGGGTAGCCTGTTTGGACAGGCCCACCTGGACCATGAGACGGCACTGAAAACAGAAATGAATTACCTCATCAACTTCGCAAATAATATGCACTTGTTTAAAATCAAAGGCAGAAACAGAATCCGCAACATATGGACTTTCATTAAACAACCCTCAGGTAAGTCTCTTCAATTAAAATCAGTAAAAAGCTTATGATCTCTTTTGTCAAGAAACACAAGAAATTATACGGCAGATGATACTAGCAGTGTTCACGACTGGTGTTTAAAAGTAACAGGACATTGGGTCCTGTAAGTTTCACATGTCTGTCTGACCCACTGAAAATTCACAGGACCCATTGTATAAAAATTAAACACAAATTTCAGATTAAACATTTCTTATAATTGGCATTGAAATTATTAACAAATGGAAAATTTATAAACAGCAGACAAGTGTGACAAGTCACATAACAACTTCAGTCCAAGTCATTGTGAACTATAGTTGAACACTGAGGCCTGCAGGTTGTAGACTTCCATCAGATCGTCGGTAAATCTGCCGGATTTGTCTGAGGGAACACTGCTGCTGCTACTACTACTACTAGAGCTAAAAAAATCAATAATTGGAAGTGTCGTTTTAGGGATTCATTATGAAAATTGTGTAATCATAAATGAAATCTTGTGAAGAAATAGTTTTCGAATTTACTCAGAAACCACCCAATATTATGTCTAAAATACGTTCAGGACAGTGTTTGTTTTGGGTTTTTTGGTAATCCAAGCCTTAATGTGTCACCACTCACCACTGATGTTAAATATGTTGATTTCTTTCACATGTTTTAGTCACTGTTGCTCAAATTTGATCTCTATTGACAGTTAGGCCTTGATGCTACTCATGGAAAGTCAAACACACTTGATGAATGAGTTCACCTTATGCACAGGTAACTCATCACCTTTGGCAGTTAACAAACTTTTATTTGACTTGATTTAACTTGACTCTTAGTAACAACATTTGACAAAGAAGAGAAGTGAAAATGGTAAAAGGCAGAGATGCCAACCTTAAATGAAGTTTGGAAGTATAATTTAGGGGTATATCTTACCTAAAGGTCAGGGGACATGACTAGCTTGCAAGACCATAACAAAACACTGTATCTATGGAGGGTGTGGGACAGGGTAAACAATGAGTGAGTATGGTGTACATCGCTTTGAGCAATATTCCAGCAATATCACTGTGGGGGACACCAGAAATGGGCTTCCCACATTGTATCCATGTGGGGAATCGAACCCTGGTCTTCAGCATGACAAACGGATGCGGTAATGAAACAACTGTGGGTTTTTTCAATTTGTTTTAACACTTTTACAACTGCAGATTGTAATATGTTCCAGTCTTTTCAAGGTAAGTTTGTTGTAGTAGTACCGCTTGGAATTATTGAGGTTTTATGTGTCTCTTAGATGAGATGAAAACTAACCTGAGATGCACAAAAACCACTCTCACCCTGAGGGATGCTAATACAACTAACATGCCAAAAAGAATGTTACCATGATGCTGGCTTTTACTTGGTTCAACCTTTTGGTCAGGACCAGACGAAAGTAAAACATGTTGTCAAGGCTCCTAACATTATTGAAATTCATAAAATTCATTGTTACCTTTTCCAAACTTCATAGTCATATTGATTATGTTCTGATATCAAATATTTGTCATAAGTAAGTATTCAAACATTATCATCATATGTGAAAGATTTTATATAGCAAACATATTTTATTAATGACCTTCACTTTGACCACTGTAGGTCCCACAATGACAACTTGGATCAAGGTTCATGGACAAAATAACTGCTTCTGAGTTTTTTTCAGTCCACAACCATGACAATGTCCTTGACGTTTGATAACACTAGTAAACATGACATAAAAGATTCACACTACTATAAAGGAGACATACAAATTATGAAATCTGTGGGATGTTCATACTCATAGTTTTAAGAACACAGTGACCTGGCAATAGTCAAATTCAGACATCTTGTTAAGCATCCCTTTCACATTGGAGTGCTTAGTAACAAAACAAAATGCGGCTGGGTTGGCACTCCTTTTCATTGTTACCCACTGAAATAACTACGGCAAAGTCAAAACAAATAATATTTTGATTGGCTTTGACAAAGAAGTATCCCATAAAATGCAGCACACTATAACAACAGAAGTCACTAGGCAAATGATCTGAAGATAACAACTACACAGCAGGTGTTTTAAAGAATATTTTTACCTGGTGAAACAAAATGGTGGACTGGTGAAGGGTGGACACCAGAAGGCGCAGAAACTGGTATGGCAGGTAGTCCAGAGTGGTGCATCATGTGGTGTCCTTGACCATGGACTGGATTTGGTCCTGCTATGATGAAAATATGCTCTCTGAAATATTTCTACTTTCAATTCGGCCTGTCTTTCTAATCATATAATGTGAAACAATACATGTTTATCCATTCCTTCAAATTCTTTTCAATTCTTACACAATGCACATTCAAGCCATGAGTGTTTGTTGTGCACACTGTTTCTTTGCTTTTAAGATAAAGCAAGGAGGCTGAGTCATCCATATCAATTAACCTACACATGCTTATACCGGTAGACAAATACTTTTACTTTTTGTAAATACCTGTCCTACTGACCCTAACATTTCAACGCGAAATAACTCAACTCCAGAAAAGATTTGTGTGGTCATGTAACTGAACATGTCATCACCAGTTAAAATGTAAACCGTCCACATTGACATATACTGAAAGGCAAAAGAAACATCGTAACATTGGAAATGACATTTAAGCATCAATGGAGTATTTGAACCTTTTTTTTTTGGAAAGCATACATCGGAAGTCAAGTTTGAGGAAAACATGAATAGTGGTCTTAGAGCCTGTATTGCCCAATAAAGTATTGTTTGAGACTGAAGTTTAAAATGTTTGTGGAAAGGGAAGAGTTAGCATAAACACAACACTGAAATCAAGATGCACGCCTCGATGCTGGTCAACGTGCTTGTGTCATTACTAATGACTTCAATTGCAGCGGACGAACGATTGAACACCTTAGACAGAGATACAACACCACCAACAGCACTGATGAAAGTCCATGTAGTGGTTGACCCGTCACCAGAACTGACATATCGGCCATCAACACCTCTCGTTAACCAAGCCATAGCTGCTGTGGTCAGAAAACAAGTGAACGATTGCCATTCAAGCCGGCAATTTATGCCTGAATGCATGCATGATGCACGCGCATCTCAATTTCAATGTTGTGTTTGTGCTGATTCTTCCCTTTCCACAAACACAAACATTTAAAACCTCAGTCTCAAACAATACTTTACTGGGCAACACAGGCTATACGACCACGATTCATGTTTTCCTCAAACTTGACTTCTGGTGTATATTTGAAGAAAAGAAAAGGGCCAAATACTCCATTGATGCTTAAATGTCATTTCCAATATTACGTTTCTTTTACCTTTCAGTATATTTAAAAAATTTCTGCATATTTTTAGAGAAAAAAATAACAATAAATTGTAATGAAGAACAAAATTCGGAGAAAAGTTAAAGTTCAAATCCGTCAGTGTTTCTATTTCAGTGTAGTAATCTGAGTATTGTCAAAACAAAGTAAAAATTTGGCGAAACGTATCCCTGAACCATCTAAATAAACATGCAAACATAATTCCATTTTTTTTACAAAAATGGCTGAGCATTGCAAAGATCACTTCACTCCTAGGTAGGTGAACAAAAAAGCTAGCTTGATTATTGCAATTACTTAGGTATCTAAACATAGCGGCAGTGATAGCTATTCAGGATTTATCTGCAACTGCATACACTGGCATTCAAATCAAACTCTAAAACAAATGTCAGGAATATTCCCAATTTGGAATATATTAATCCGATCCCACATCATTAGAGAAAACCAGCCCCAGCTGTCTTAGCTAGATGCCTGGGGCCCGTCCTCAAAGCGATTGTATCACTACGACAGTCGTAAGTTTACATTAAAGTATGGGAGTTACGATCATGTTAGCTCTACGATCACCTTGAGGAACAGGACCCTGGGCTTTCTGGCATAAACAACATATTTTGAGGAAGATGCTACTCTATGTACATATTCATTCTCATCTAACATGGTCATATTCGTTCAAAATAAACACCTCCACAGAAGTTCATTCTTTTGTTGTGATACTGGCCAATATATTTATGAAACTTTCAAAGACAAATATATCCACACAATTTACAGCGTGTCTGATGTTTGTAATATATACTCATGGAAACGAATAAGGGAACACATGATAGTACAAGTGTTCCTTTATTCTTTCCCAGGTTTCTTCACAAGGTATGTATTGCACTGTGCGTGAAATTCTGGGAATATATAAAGGAACACTTGTACTTTCATGTGTTCCCTTCTTTGTTTCTATGAGTATAAAAGTGTTAATGTACTATTAGATGTTTTTTTGAAATCTGAAGTTGGATACTATTTTGCACAAAACAAGTTTTGTTGATAGAATACAACACTAGTGGTATTTTATGGTTTGAATGCCTTTATGACCCAAATCAGCCAGTGACAGTGGTCAGTTCTGGCAATGGCATCCTTGCATTTTGAGCATGTGCAATACCACCTTGAAAGGTCTACCATTACACAACATGTTCAAATGTTACATGAGTGGTGCAATGATGTTGTCTGGATAGCATTGGTAAGTGGCTGTACCATGGACAATATGGAGAGCAGCTTGGCTAGCTATTGTTATACAACTCATTACTCTTAAATATTCATCCAGCAATTATGATTTTCAGTGCTATTTTGTTTGTGTACAGAAATCTTATGCTTCTAAACATCACTTTTATTGTTTCATAAAGATTGATTGTTTCATTTTTCAGTTTATCAAGTAATGAACCAAAACAAACAGCAAACATATATATAAAATCTGTTTAGTTTCAATATTAGTTTTTGATCACAAACTTTTCCCAGTTGATTTTCCTAAAGAAAACCTAAGATACAAAGTCAGTCCTGAAATGATTTGAAATCACCTTACCTGGCATGTGATGTCCAGCTGCTGCAGCTGCTGCATGTGCATGTGCATGTGCACTATGCTGAAACTGTGGATGTGGTGGTACGTGGTGTGTGTGTTGGACCTGGCTGTGTGGAGGGGGTTGGGGCATAACCACTATTTGTGGCTGGGGCATGTGAGGTGAGTGGGTATGTGTATGTACTGTCTGACTAACAGATGTCTGCTGTTGGGCTGCTTGTGTAAATGTAAATTGCTGTGCTCCCTGTTGAATGTGTGGATGTGACGTGAATGCATATGGCATCGAGACAGGATGCATGGCTGCCTGTGGTGATGCTGGGTTATGAGAAGCCGCTTGTATCTGGTGATGACCTTGCAAGCCTATTTGTTGGTAATTGATTGGTGGCTGAGGTGTCCCAGAAGTTGGGGGTCCCTGAGGATGATGTTGCTGTCCCCCTGGACCAGTATGTTGCACTGGACTTGGAGCAGGATGTGGCCCGGACACTGGGGTCATCTGGCCTTGAGATTGAGGGTTTCCTGCCACAGGATGAGTCCCAACATGAGCTGGTTGAGGATGAGAAATCTGCTGTCCATGATGTGGTGTCATATGGGCAGGCATTGGACCATGACCCGTAGGCACTACAAAATACAAATGTGCACATTATGTTAACATTCTTTCAAAAGTTATGAAGAGAACGAATGAAATTTATGTCTAGTAAATATTCATGAACCGAATGATTGGTATTGATTGATGTGTACAAAACCTGTGTTCTGACATTGAGCAAGATTTAACATACATGTATTTATGAAGTCTCAAGTTATGCAATTTCTCTTGTTCTTACAATCATGGAGTGGAAACAACCAGAAGCAAAGTTTTCAGCCTCTTTAAACACCTTGCCAAAACATCCCAGCACCATCTATAGTTCTTGGCAATCTGAAAGATCATGGGGACGGACTGAAGTTCCAAGATTATAAAAAACCTTGGTACCATTGCAGTAGCCACGAATGTATTAATGGCAGCTAGGTATGTAGATGAGGTAGAACCCTTCAGCTAACTTGAAGTCTGTAGATGTTGAAGGAATTCAGCAAAGTATTAGCTGGGTAAACAATGCCATGAACCCTGCAGTAAGACTCAAACTTTAGCTGTAGATGATTGAAGTGACAAGACATTATCTGTTGTGAACAGTAAGGTTTGTGTGGATGATTAACCAACTCCTTGCTGATCAGAAGGGCCCGAGCAAAGCAGATGTATCTTCATGGTGGCTTGAAGTTTGCAGAGGACCCAAGGAAGGAAACCTCTTGGAGGGAATGCATATATAAGCGTTAAGTCTATTCCAGTATTAAGTCATTGTCAGAGGATTGTGATCCCATGCAAGCATGACCGAAATTGGGGAGACAATACTGGGTAACTGAATATTGAAAAGCATTGCAGACAGGTCGACCTGTGGGCTGGAGATGGGTTAGCAAATTACTTGGAAGAATAGTGAAGCCTCCATTTGGTCGGCAGTGGGATGAATCTTGATGAAACAAAGCATTAGCTATGAAGTTCTTGGCTCCCAGTGTGTGTCTGGCTCTGGTGTGGATGTGATGAGAGCCGATTGAAAAACTGAGTGCTACATACAGCAAGATCGGGGACTTCATTGATCCAATGCAAGTGACATTGTCTCACTGTACCATGAGACTGGATGATCGCAGGATGCTGAACCAGTGGCAGACAGCTAGGATTATAGTATGCTTCGAGCATGATCAATCTCTTATGGATGATCTTCAACATGGGCTTTATGATCCAGGTAAATAGCCACAAGGCTGAAAATACGCCACATGGGAAGACCGTCCTCTGGTAGGGAATTCCCTGGAATCAAGTAATTTTCCATGGTCTGGGTTCATAAAGATATGCATCTTGGACATTAAGACAATTTCCCAGCTTGATGATCGTATAAGGGAGCGCAATGAAGACCATCTGGAAATGTGTCCGAGGAGGTTGTAGAAATCAGGCACAAAAAATATTCGTGCTAAAGATCATGCACATTCTGCTTGAATCTTTCTTCACAATGAGAATCAGTATCATCAAAGGAGTTGAAACCATGAATGTATGAATCTTCCGTTGGTACTTCAGAGTGAGTGACCCATCATTTACCCTCTTGAGCTCTCCATAGGCAGCATCTAGTGAAGATGAGGGCTGTAATGTGATGGGTTCAGGAGGCAACCTAATACTGTTGATGTCCTGATCTTTCGGAACAAAGGACAAAGCCAACTGAGCAGATGAACTCTTCTGAAGTTATTCTACGAATGAAAGGAGAGTTCATGATGCTCGATGCTGGCCTCAGAAGTACCTGGTGAAAAACCTTTAATCAAATAACGTGGCAGAGGAGGTGAGGGCATCGAACTTGAAGGTGGAATAAAGGACAGACAAAGAGAAACCAGAGGGTTGGACTGTTGCTTTTTCCTCATAGCTTGAAAGTCCAAAAGGCTATAGTGAAGACTTGGGTCCTGTGATCGAAAATCAAACTAAAGGGAATCATAGGTTGCACAGAGATCGACAAAGTAGGTGCCTGGACTGATAGATGATCAGTGAACCAGGGCTGAGTAGTAGTCAAAGATTGAAAAAAGGACACCTCCAGGAGAGATAGATTATCCTGAGGCCAAAGGAAACGAAAAGAAGGATGATGGGGCAGCTGATCCGAGAGAAGACATCTTAGGATCGTCAAGGAAGAAACAACAGACAGAGCAAACCGAGACCACTTGAGGCAGGATTGTGGATGACAGGAACATGATCTCCAATCAGTCATTTCCGAATGACTGCTACTTAGGAAGGAACAGAGGGGACCAGCATCAGACAAGCCAAAGTCGTGACTGTAAGCCTGCAAATGGCCAATTTTCACTGAGATAGTCTTCATAGGAGTCTTAAAAAAGTCATTGCCTGTGCCGCTGGGCATTTGAAAGAACGATGTGGCCTTCTTTATGGTTCTTTTAGACATTTTAGAACAAGATGGTCAAAATTCTTCAACTCGTTTTTTAATCTCTACCCTCCATACATCCAGAAGTAGCTTTCTTGTAGACAATAAAAATTGCTTATTCCAGGAACAAGAATACAATCCATGCTTGAAGAGTTTACATCTTCCACACACTTTCCTTTTCCAGTTAGCCACATCATCCATGCCCACAGTTCATCTGCATTCTTCTAAGATATGCAAACAAGCTGTTTCCTTGGCCTCTGAAGAAAAATATTTTCTGAAAAGCAGGACGTCTTCACTCAAGAAGAGAATGAAGATAGCTGAAAGTCAAATGATCAACCACAGAATGATTCATGTGTTGAATGCTAACAACAATGGATTGAGCTGCGGTATTCTGTGGTGGTGTGTTTCAAGAGGCTGGAAACTTTGTGCCAGGATGTTTAAATTCCATGATCGTAAGAAGAAGAGAACTGACTGACTGACTGAGTTTAGTTTTACGCCGCTTTTAGCAATATTCCAGCAATATCACGGCGGGGGACACCAGAAATGGGCTTAACACATTGTGCCCATGTGGGGAATCGAACCCGGGTCTTCGGCGTGACGAGCCAACGCTTTAACCACTAGGCTACCCCACCGCCCCAGAAGAAGAGAAAGTGCATAACGTGAATGTAATTTTTCAAGTAAAATTGATATTTTTATACTTATCCTGACTCACGATCTTTTGCTTATCTCCCTTTCCCTTGCGAATGGTAGTGGAACACTTGAATCCCTGGAAGTTCCCGGAGCGGACGTAAAAATACACTAACCCATGAGTTACCTCCCTTCTGCCCTTTCCTCGCGCGCAAACAGTCATGTGACCAGTCTTACTTGTCACTCTCTCCTGATTTTTCTGCCCATGCACTTGGATCTGCTGTGAAATCCGAAGTGTTTCCAGCGGGGAGGTTGGGAGGGCTTCTCGTCATGAGTCAGGATAAGTATAAAAATATCAATTTTACTTGAAAAATTACATATTTGATCTTATCCTGACTCATGATCTTTTGCTTATAGAATCCGACGGATTGGTGGTGGGTCAAGCCACTTCGTGGATTCATCAGCTGACCTTAGATACGTCCTATGATTTCTCAAGATTGACATTCAACAGAGTAAATTTTCACTTATCACAGAGGTTTTGGACAGTGGACTAACTTTGACCAGATCCAAAAAAGGAAATCAGCAGTAGGGTTTTTGTTTCCTGGCATACCAGCACTTGTAATGGTCTTCAGTAGGCAAAGGAAACAAGATCAATCTGTATATGCTTTAAAAGGAACAATTGCATGTATTGTTAGTAATTGTTAGTAAACTAACCTCTGGATCATGGTAGCCTTATTCCTGTGGATTCACTGAATACATACAGAAATCAAAAGAAATTTTAACACTAAGTCATAGCTATTCCTAGTGGTATACCTAATCTACCCCTGAGTTATCTCCCTTGATCCTGACGTCACTGTATTGTTCTCCTAGAACCCTTCATAATTTTTCTAAAAAACAACACATCAATGACATCTTCTCAGGATAAATACGCGGGGAGGACACAGGGTGGGAACTACTCCCCATAATCCAGAGGTAAGTTTACTAACAATTACTAACAATACATGTAATTGCTCCTAATTATAACCAGTGTTTCCGCTGGGTATTTTTTTTACCGGCCACAGTGTCCGGCGATCATTTCATTTTCCGGTCCTGTACGCAATCTGGCGGTCACAATTTATATAAGAGTTATGCAATGATTCTTTAATTCAATAAAGACAATAAAACCATACCTTTTAGAGTTTTCTGTTTTTATTTCGGAAAATGACTCTTGCTTTTTCGATGTTCTTTTCTCCTGCGTGCATGTTTAATGTCATGAGAGTATTCAACCGATCCTGTGACAGTCGATTGCGTCGGGGATTGTGAACTTGATTTTGGAGGCTCAACCCCCTCTCTGCAGCCACGCTGCTCACTGGGATTGTCATGGCAATCTTTGCCAACACAGCAAAGTCTGGGTAAATGTCACCATATTCCATAATAATGGCACGACAAGTTGTTTCCAGTGAAGTGGTGCCGAGACCACGGACAGTTGTTTTGTAATGGCTGAAGTCTTTCCTAGCACAGTCGCCATTGACAACGCCTGTGACATCATTTTCCTCTCATCCAATCACAGGGCTGAACTGAGTTATCAACACGTCAAGGGAATCGGCGTGCTATTTCGACAATGTCGTCTTGTGATTCAGGAAAACGAATGGGGTTCAGAACCTTATCAAGGCATGTCAAAACATGTAAACTCTCCTCTGGAAATCTAGCGTGTAGATTACTGCATAGTTCTTCAATAAATCCTTTTCTCATGTTTTGAAATGCACGAATAGAACCAGCATCTGCGTGCCTTGAGTTTCACGCCCTGAAATATCCTTTCTGGAGATTTTCTGTGAAATACTTCTCACTTTAAGCTGGAGTTGTTATCAACTCCATCAGTGAAATGCAAGTCGAATTTACTATTGGCATAACCATGCCAATGTTGAGATTTTCTTTCTGAAATATCTTTATCAACTTGTCTATGTAGTACAAGACATCCGAGCATGTAAGTGGTGGCAATGAACGAATACGCGTTTGGATCTTCTTCTGAATATTAACAGCTGCACTGTTATTTCTGTTGGCCCTCCTCTTCAATTT